AAACCGGCGCCAGAAGAAGAAGATTTATTCATAACACAGGAAAGACCCGGAGAAACCAAGCGAACGATAAAAACATAAATTTAACACCCGAGCCTCAACTCTCCGGGCCCGGGACTGGTCCACGGCCCGGGGAGCGCTGGTCTAAACCACCAGCATCACTGTGACGACTTCTTTCACTCGCCTCCGTTTCTGCTATTCTGCTTCCATCTCGAGACATCACACGCCACCGACCCGCCCGGCGAGGTGACGAGAACAACTCCCAGAACTACAGCAGGAAACTCACTTCCTCCAGTGAAGTTTTAAATTTCATCACTAATCTGAGATTTAAAGGGAAAGATGGAGGCTGCAGCAGGACACGCTGCTCGCTGCAGCTTATGAGACGCCACAGAAAAGTAAACAAAGCGAGGCAGCGAGACTGAACGGCTGTTTAAATATAGGCGAGACATTCGGAGGCGGATGATTGCCTCTTCAGGAGAGAGAGGGACGGTGTATTTAAATCTCGTACTGAACGCGAGTATGTCGCTCGGCCGTGCGGCGGCGGGACGCGAGAGAGCCGGCTCACCTCGGAGGATCTGGTAGAGGAAGACCTTGATGTGGTCGGTGGTGAGCGGCTGAGGAGACACGATCACTTTGTGGAGGTCGCTCTGCATCAGCTCTGTTATCACGTAGCTGCGGGCGGTGAGCAGTCAAGGAAAAAAAATAAAACGCACACGCACGGACCGACCTCCGCCTACACGAGCACGACGCATCGCCCAGCACCGGCCTCCGAGGCGGGGGAGCGCCGGGCCGCTCAGGAAAAGTGCCGATGTAACATTTTTTAGAAATGATGCACATTAAATATTCATCAGCAGCCTCGTGCTTCACGTCTGCGAGGAGCTGGATTTAGACCGGACACCGGCGGCTAAATTAAGCGAGTTAAAGGAGGACGTGAGGGAGAACTGAAACTGGGACAGAAGGACTGAAGGATACATCTCCTCGAAGCAGTCGATCTGCGGAGGCTGCAGAATGTCCAGAGCCGACAGAACCTGCACGGAGAGAGAAAAACGCCATCAGCTCAGCCTCTACATCCAAATAAGAGCCTCTTCAAAATAAAAGCGCCCGCAGGTCGTTACATTGTCGTGTTTGAAGAAGCACAGCATCCGCAGCTCTCTGAAGACCCTCTTGCAGGAGACCAGGTTCTGGAAGACGTTGGGCATCTTCTTCAAAGCCACCTTCCGGCCGTCCCGAGGATCGGTCACCGACCTGTGAGGAAACGAGGCGCACGCTTCCTGTCACAGCTAGAAGACAGTCCGACGACACAGTTTAGGGTCGTTCAGTCTGCAGACACACAGCTGACTGCTGCTCAAAGTCAATAAAGTTACAGCGAGTCACAGGTTCAGCGCAGCCGGAGCGACTCGAGCGCTCGACACAAAGCAGGCCTCAGGCTCACGTCACACACCTGCATCAGCCTCACTGTGAAGCAGAGGCCACGTTCATATGGATGCAACTGCAAATTAGCCGTGTGTTCCTCATATGCTGATGCCCAACCACATACAGGGACGTGCACGCCCACGGTGCCAGAAGATCAGGGCCAAACACTTTTACTACGACTGTTTAACAACACGACTCATAAACGTACACAGGAAGCAGAATTAAAGCTTCACAGTAAAGGTGCTGGCCCCTCTTTGGGCTGCAGCGTCTCTGGTGGACGGCGCTAATCTAAAGACGAAGGAAACAAGCTGCTCGTCTGCACACGGCTTCACGTGGGAAAAAAATAAAACACTCAGTGAGGGGGAGCTCTGATTGGTCAGTTACATTAAAATGAATCCCTGTATGAGGTCCTTAAACCTCCAATGAGATTATTAAAGTAAACTGAACAAAGAGGAGCGGCATCAGCTCCTTTGACCTTTAACCTTTTAATAAATCTTGTTTCACTGAGCCTCTGCAGCACGCCATCGCTGCAGGCAGTGACGCGAGTGTTTCACTCACATTTAGCAGCACATTTCTGAATTAGCAGCCTGTCACAGACCCCCCCCCCAGCAGCAGTGATGATGCTGTTGTAGTTTGCGTGGAGCCTCAGGCGGCCGTGGTTTGGTTTACAGTAACGATGTGCAGTTCTCACAGACAAACAGTTTTCCTCTCTCTCCAGCTCCTATACCAGCCGTGATGTTTACCTGCCAACGTTCCCGTCGTGAATCCAGCCCCACTTACATAACAGCAAACACATATTTTTCACCATTTTCTAACATGTTCTACACGACCTGTTGACTTATCGGCCCACTGACAACCAATCACACGGCTTTATCCAGAACACACAGCATGGTCAGGTTACAGCTGGGAGGCAAGGCCTCACGCTGCAGCTGTGCAGAGCATCAAAGGTCTAAAACCACTCAAACCAGCTAAACCAGAAACGATCAGAGGCTGGTGATGACCCCAGATGGAGATGAGGTGATGCCATCTTGTGTGGTGACAGTTTGAGCGCATGTAAACAAAGATGGAGCTGAGTTTCAAGTCTGCACAAACAAGATGGAAGTCGGAGCAGAGGGAGCTTTCTGACAGCAGGACTGAAGCGTGATTACGATCACAGCGTTTTCTTACCAAACAACTCCAAATGCGCCATAACCGATGGGCCGGTCTGGCTCCATCTCTGCGGGGCTCGGCACCTCGCTGGCTGGGTTGCTGTAGGGCTGAGGCACCGCCGCGCCGCCGCCGGTGCTTCCTCCGAGGGCTGTGGGGTGACGAGGGGTCCCTGCCGGGGCGGTGGGTCCGGTGAGGCACGGTGTGGCGCTGAGGCCCGTGGAGGGGGCTCCGCAGGAGGAGCTCACGCAGAAATACTTGTGGCCCAGCTCAGAGCCCGGAAATAGGTCTCCACACACGGTCTGCCGGCCTGCGCCGTGAAATGCCATCCTCCTCCCGGAGCACCACCCGGACACGGTCGCGTTATCTGCCGCTGCCTGCTGCTGCTAGGCTCGGAGGACCCGCAGCTCCCCGCTAAGCATGCCCAGCCTGTGAAGGAGGCAGACACACGTCAACGCGCTGTGGCTAAAAACACATTTAAACACGTTCACAGGCCGAAGTGTGCTAGTTAAATCCGGGCTAAATCCAGGCCCGCGGCGGAACGGACCTCCGACACAGCCGAGCCGAGCCACCTTTGTTTGTATCAGGCTGCTCTCACCTGGTTAGTGGAGCGGCTAGCATCCCCCGGCTAACTAACGAGTCAGCGTCCAAAAACAGAAATATAAAATAATCCACCCGCTGCTCCATCACCCAGCTCGGCTGCACAGAGACCACAGCACCCACTCAAGCACAACCATCCACACTCACTCTTATTTTTATTCTAAAACCAATAAAATAAAAACGCGTCCAGGCGTCCGCAGCTAACCAGCTGTTCTGGCTAACCAGTTAACCCCCCCGATGACCCACATAACCATCACCGGCCGGACGAGCTGACCTAGATCGACTAAGAAAGCGAGCTTTCCCCCGCGAGGTCCAAAAATGAGCCTACAAACCTGACTCGGTTAAGCAGCCGATAGCATGACACGGAAACGGGCTTAAAGAAGGCGAGAAAAGCCGAGTTAAATCCTCGAGCTAGCCGGGATGGTTAGCCAGCGGAGCCGCTAGCTGCAGCTAGCTGCGGGCTGCTCACTAGCTGGCCGCGGCGCCGTCACAGGCGGAGAAGAAGCGTCCATATAGGCGGTTTCTCCTCTTTTCCGGGTGGAGGTTCATCCAGCGGCAGGTTCCGAGCGGGGCTTCGACCCAGCAGGGCTTCGGCTCCGGACTACAGCGACAGCTTAGCCCGGCTAGCCTGTAGGAGGAGCAGGTGAAGCCGGATGGGGGAGGGTGGATGATTTTTTTTCCCACTCTGCTGTAAACACTGGGTGACAAATTAAAGGAAAAGAAAACCCAGAATAAACTTGGATAAATGCAGGTGCTTCCTGACACAGGTGCGCCACATGGTAACAGCCAATCAGCATCCAGCCCTGTTCTGCACAGGTGTGAACACAGCAGGCAGGTTCAGCGGATTCTGGAGGCGTTTGAAATGGATAAACAGGGCTGATTGTTGGCGTCCATTATTGGTGCAAATTCTGGTATCGGTAGGAGCCCACGTAAACACACGGCCGCTGTCCCCGATAACAATGCCGATACTTTCATCCAGCTAATGTAGGGGAGAGGTGAATCATCATGTTTGCAAATTCTGAACACATTTTAATGAGAACTACATCACTGTTGTTTTTACTTTCCATAATAATTACATAACAACAGATATTTCAGAATATTTCATTTTAAAACATTTTTGGAGTCCTACGATGTAAATGTGCGTCACCATCTGCTGTCTGTAACATAAAATAGACATCAATACAAATTCTATATTTATATGTATATTTTATAAAATGATCTTTTTCCCATTTAGTGGAGTAGTAGTATTTTTAATGTATCTTTCCATAAGAAAAAATTATTTAACTACGCACTGAAACAATGTATCGATCTGAGCGTTCATACACAGCCAGTATTTGGATTATTATATAATACTCTTGATAATTTTGAATCATATCTGTTTTGAATCATATCTGTTATTAATCTCTGTCTCTCTTCCACAGCATGTCTTTATCCTGTCTTCCTTCTCTCACCCCAACCAATCACAGCAGATGGCCGCCCCTCCCTGAGCCTGGTTCTGCTGGAGGTTTCTTCCTGTTAAAAGGGAGTTTTTCCTTCCCACTGTCGCCAAAGTGCTGCTCATAGGGGGTCATATGATTGTTGGGTTTTTCTCTGTATCTATGAAGCGCCTTGAGGCGACTTTTGTTGTGATTTGGCGCTATATAAATAAAATTGAATTGAATTGAAATTGAATAATCGGTCATCATTGGGTTATATGGAGGACTCAAACTGCCACAGTTTAACATAAATAACTCAAATACATCAAAATATATTTAAATTAATTTAAGTAGTATTTTATAAAATGTGGCAAAAATGTCTTTTAACCTGAATTAACAAATACAAAATATATAAATTTACAGGCAAAATAAAACCCATAAAATAAAATTCTTATCATCTGATTTATACTTTTTAAATATTGATTTGATATCAATGTAACACTGATTCATTCTTTTTTATATGGACTTTATGTTTTGAAGCCTTTCCTTACACAGAGCCCAGTATTACAGGAACTACTCTGTTTTAATCTGGAGGACTAACAAATACTTATATATTAAATAAAAGTACTTCCTATTAAAGGCAAACACAGTGATGCAGCAGACAAAGGGATTCATATATAAGGAAGAAAAGTCCTGAGCATAAGTTAGCGCTATCTCACCTCAGCCTGAGGCTCAGACTGAATAGAAACATTACGAGCCGCTAAATCGGAGCTAACGGGCCCGTTAGCTTCTCTGAGCCGGTTCACCGACACCTTTAACTTGTTTCAGTGCTTCAGACGAAACATCCACATTCAGCACCCACTCAGACACTGTGAAGATGACCTGAACTCGAGTCCACACGTGCGTTTTACTGCCTTTTAATACAGTAACAGTAACGAGGCGCTATGCACTATGCATCAAGTACAATCAATATGCACAGCCACAGAAAATGTGTCACCAGGTAGCTACAAATTACATGGCAGGTTCAAGAGTTACAAATCAGCATCCAGAGTAAGAACGAAGATCATACGAAGCAGAGAAGTTATGCACATTCAGTGTTCAGGGGGAATATCCACAAACAACTATCGGTCTGCCGTTATCTGCTTTATAAAAGTGTGTATGTACAGCGTGGGCCGTCAGAAACACCCGCTCCCCGCTCAAAGGCAAACCGGACACCGCTCGGCAATAAATTAGAAGAGAAAATGAGATAAATCGTGTTACTGAGGTCTCTGGGCCAGTTTCCTGGTGTTAAACACGGATATCGTGGATCAGAAATGGTGTAAAAACGGCGACGGCGGCTTTACAAAAATCAAGAGCGGCTGAAAATGAAAACAATGAAGTGATGATAACAGCTAAGCGCCAAGCTGGAGAATAAAAATACACATTAGTTAATAACTGATGGTCCTCTGTGCAGGACTCCAGAGTCGGTAGTGTGATAGCAGAGAGCGCCTCCCAGTGCTGGAGGCCGGTCAGCTGACAGAGGCGGGCGTCGCAGGAACGAACAGAGGTCGCCGTCCTCACAGCGCCACGGAGAAGTCGAACCTCCATCAGGATGTGTCAGGAAACAACCTGAGACAGAAAAATCAGAGCTCACCTCATTTCATAAAAAAAGGAGCAAAGCCGCTGCAGCGAGTCCAGGACTACAAACATGGCGCCATTAATGAGCAGAATGGATCCACACACCTGCCACGGTGGCTCCTCCCACGTGTCCTTGCTTCCTTTTGCCTCGACTCCTCCGACTCCCCCCTCGACTCCACCCCACCTCCCTGCAGTCCCACCCCAGCTCTCCCCTGCCCCCACTCACCCCCCCAGCGTGCTAGCTGTGGGGCTGGGGGGCGATACCGGAGCAGTCAGTGACCAGCAGTCCCACTGTGCTAGCGCTGGACACCGTGACCGCCACGCTGGTGGTGCCCACGGGCCCAGTGCTCGTCTGGTCGGGGGTGGGGTCGCCCTGGCTGGCGTGAGTGCCCATGTGACCCTGGAGCTGCGTGGCCGTCTTGCACTGTACCCCGCACAGCTGGCAGAGCAGCACGCCGCCGGCCCCGGTCCCGCCGAAAGCCCCCCGCGCCCCGCCGCTCTCCTTCCACTCCTGGCCGTGGTGCTTCTGGGCGTGGACGCGCAGGTAGGTGAGGGTGGTGAAGCCTGCGGGACAAGAGCACACGGACACGTGAAGGCGGGGTGACGGCGGACTGTCGGTGGTGCTTCCTCGTGACGCAGCCGTGTCTTACTGCGGTTGCAGAGGTGGCAGGCGTGGTGCTGCGATTGGTTGTGGACCCGCATGTGGTCGGTGATGTAAGCGGCCGACAGCAGCTTCCCGCAGATGTGACACGGCACCTTCTCCTCGTGGCGAATCAGGTGAGCACGGAGGCGATCCCGTGTGGCAAACGCTGACGTGCACGTCTGCAGAAAACAGGAAGGCGTGGATAAAACGAGTGAAATTTTCAAAATAAGACGTAGTTGCTTATAAAAACTCTATAAATGTAAAATTTGATGCTTTTTATTGAAATTGTGATGTTGTTGTTTTCTGAATGCAGGACTGTTTTTAGAAACAGGTCAACAGGTGAGCGTGTTACCGTGCACTTGAACGGCCTCTCTGTGGAGTGCACCTGTCGCACGTGACTGTTGAGGTGGTCCGGCCTGAAAATGCAAACAAGACTGAGATTCTTTTTTTTTACTGTTTAAATTGTAATAAGGTTTAAAGCATTATTAGGGGCGTGGCCTCTTTGACTGACAGGCGGCTGTAGCTGCTAACTGTATGCTAGGCTTCACCTGAACTGGACCGTGTTTGTGCCAATGGAGCTTTTTTATTGACATCATCTGACCAATCACACGGCCGCTCTCTGAGCTCCAGCTTAGGTGGGATTCTGGGATCACGATTGGATGTTACTAATGTGTCAGGTGTCTGTGTGCTGGAAACAACATGACGGCAACTATAAAGCTAAAATCTAGAGTAAAGAAATTGACGGATGACATCATGGTGGTTGCAGCCATCTTTTATTTACAGTGTGTGTTTGCTACAGGAAGTCTGTATAAAGTCTGGTTATGAACTAACTTATAAGCTGTGGTGTGTGGGGACACTGCTTCAGTTCACTTGGACGCGCTCAGTGAACAGCTGATGACTTCATAGGTTCAGGCATTAAAGTCGTGAAGCAGCATAAACTGTATATAGACGAGGGACGAGGCAGCTGTGAGCATTGAGGTCGAGCTGTTCCCATTTTCTCTTTCGGATGTTAGGACTGAAACTGGGGGACTCAACTCGTCTGTTTTCCTGTTCTCACCAGTTTGTGTTCAACGAGACTTGAAATCAGAGGCTAAGATCAGAAGCTCATCAGGACAGAGTCCTGAATAACAGTCACATCTACATCTTTCATGCTAAATGTGAGCGGCTACATATACGAGCTCTCCGTGAGGAGTTAACGCTGCCGAGGAGCGGCTGGCGCTCGTACCGAGAAAAGGCCTTGGCGCAGTGCGGGCAGATGTACGGCTTCTCCACGCCGCCCTGGTGCGAGCGCACGTGGTAGCTCATCCTGTCTTTCCTCTTGAAGCGCTGCTGGCAGATGGGGCAGGAGTACGGCTTCTCGTCCGAGTGGGACAGCCGGTGGCGGTTGAGGTGGTAGACGTCCCTGAAGGCCTTTCCGCAGGCCTCGCAGGCGTGGTTCTTCCTCACCTGATTGGTGCTGGGAATGGGATTAGGATTGGGATTCTGCGGGAAGAGGCAGAGAAGTTCAGTGGTAAATACACTCTGCTGTCAGAGGCCTCTCTCTGCTCCCGGCATCAACACTAGCTGATTATGATGCTCGTCTGAGGTTTTCTGATGTTTGATCCACAAAGATTTAATTCAAATTGTGTGTTTATAAGCGTGAGTGTCAGCGGCCATGTTTCACTTCCTGCAGCTGCCGCTGGCATCAAAAGGCCCTGAATTGTCCTTTAATCTTGGCCTTACTCTCTGGCTCTCTTCCCGGTGAACCCACCTGCTCCATGGACCCAACGACAACAACGGCTGCCTGGATGGGCTGAGGCGGCGCAGCCATGGTTACTGTTGCCGGGGCGATGGACACAGACACCGGCTGGCCCTCCTGGTTGACGTGCTGGCCGGGCTGGGGGAGGGTCTCTTGGCCGGGAGCCGCGGGAGGGGGAGGAGGCTGCTGCGGGGGCAGGGCGAGGTGGAGGAGGGAGAGCGGGACCGTCTGCTTCTCCACCCGGCCGGCCTTCGCTCCGTCCTCCTTCTCCCGGGCCGCCCGGTCCTTCATCTTGATGCCCGTGTGCACCGACTGGTGCCGCCGCAGGTTGTAGCTGTTCTTGAACTCCTTGTTGCAGGTGGCGCAGATGTGGGCGGGCCGGCTCGGCTTGGTGAGCGGTTTGACTGGCGGACATTAAAGTCACATTTTAGTCACAGTCAGTGCACTCTGAGGTTAACATTCGTCTGAAGAAACGTCGGAATTTACCGACTTCAAACTAATCCTGTTACACTGGTTTGTAAACTGTTAGACAAACTGAGCTCTGACACAACAAACAGACAAAGAAAAGATAAATTCCTGACGTGTTTATTTCTTTGGAGATTTACAATCTACGGAAAACTGAGCCGTACTCATGTACGGGGGACAAAAAGTGTCAACACAAATAACTGGAACCATTTTTAACCATTATGGGAAATATTGTGCCATAATACAGGGAAACCCTGCTGCTTAGCAACAAATCAAACCAATCAACTGCTAAAAAACACAATGTTGTGCAGAGCGGACAAAAGATTTGAAGCTTTTCTGGAGAAATTTAATAATTTCAATGAATTCTGCAGATCTGAGTAAAATCATTCAACATCTTTGGGCTTGAATAATGTGTCACTTTTTTAATATTGGTAAATATACTGTATATTTAACAACTTTGTACAGCACGTAACATTTGCAGCTGTAATCTTCAGTCATAATAATAACAATGGACTCTTCTCACTGTTGAGGTCTGGGAAGCGCTTCCGCTCCCTTAAGGCCAAAACAGAGAGAATGAGGAGGAGCTTCTTCCCCCAGGCTATTCGGGCCCTGAACCAGGTGTAGGACTGGACTCTC